ACTGCGGAGCTAGTAGTAAGAAGATCTAAACTGCTAGTCCGAGATAATATATAATTTCGATAGGAAACTTAAAACTTAATAAATTCGGTGAGTTATAGATATATAACTCGGGATTTTATCTTAATAATTATTACTAGCTATATTACCTACGGTTAGCTAGTCTATTAATCCTGGCCTTCTTAGGAACTCTGTCTTCGTACTTTTATTAATAATCGGTCAGTCTGTTAATTATAATCTTTTTGAGAATTCTGCCTTCGCAGCTATATTAATAACTAATATGCCTATTAATCTAAGCCTTCTTAAAACCCTGATATTCCTAGCTTTATTAATAAGTAATCTACCTTTTAATTAAAGCCTTTCTGAGTATTCTGCCTTTGCAGCTTCTTTTATAATTAATCTGTCTATTAACCCTGACCTTCTTAAGGCTCCTACCTTCCTAGCTTTATTAATAGCTGATCTATCTATTAATTAAAGCCTTCCTGAGTATCCTGCCTTTATAACTTCGTTAATAATCGACCGGTCTGCTATTCCTAATTATATTAAGAACTGCTTATATACTGCTAATTAATACTTATCCGCTGATCCAGTCTATAACTAATACTATTTCTCTCCTTTACAAAAGGTATCCAGTTCTTAGATAGCTGCTATTCCGCTCTTTGCAGTATTTTATAGTAATAGAGCGGTTAGTAACTTAAGTTAATACCTACCTTATATATCTATTAATAGAAGTATCGCCTAAGAGAATAGATAAAATATAATATTATTCCTTAGGATTTCTAGAATTAACTATCTAAGCGGATTCTAGCTACTGAAAGTTCGTACAGAGAGTCTTGTTCTTTACCTTTATTATCTCTATAATGTTAATATACTCTTTAGTTCTCAGTAAATCTATCTTAACCTAATTGTGATTCCTTACTTTACGAATTTCCATAATCCCTAAGAAGGCTGTTTTACCTTATAATACCTTCTAACTGATTCGGCCGTCTAATATAATACTGTGATATTGTAAGTGATCGTTTTACAAGGGGTTTACAGGGCATTTGCCCTTATAAGCCTCTATAACGCAGCAGGGAAGTTCGCTATAACTCATAGTTCTCAACTGCTAACTCCGCTATAACTCAGTGAGTTTTAGTGCTAGAGGGACCAAATATAGTGCAAAATATAGCGCAAAAGAATCTTATTTTTGTGAGAGAGACCAGAAAATTCTATCTAATTTCTCTCATAGGTCTGCCGACTAAAAACTACTCTAAATCCCGCTAAAGCTGCTTCCCAGGCCGCTTTTGATTTTCCGCAAAATTCATTAGTATAGGAAATCTAAAAAATCAACTCACAGCTACCAAACTATCAGACCGATATATATAGCTTTTATAAGACCCACTTTTATCTGAAAGAGGCTCTTAAGCTGATCAGTTGAGTATAGATATTGAATACCTTATCTTTAAAGCTGAAGGAATTATCCAAGATCTAAGACTTAGTCTAGGGTAGGCTGGCTATAGGGTAGTCTGGGTATAGGTTAGGTCGTCTGAGGATATCCTAGGATTTTTCCCGGATTTATTAGACCTTTATCTGGGCTTGATAAGCCCGATAACCTAATAATAGCTCTGTTGGTGGCCCGGACCCCTGGGGGTTCCTAGGGCCCGCTAAGCCGTAGCGGTTATAGCGGTCTGTAGCCACTGACCCACAGTGGCTGCAGCCGCTATTGGCTAGTGATTGTTATCGCTAAGAGATAGCGATCTCAATCGCTATTAGCTAGCGTTAGCAGGGGGTTATTAGCGGTTGTAGCCAGTGGCTGCAATCGCTAGAAGCTAGTGGTTACAATCGCTAGCGGCTAGTGGCTGCGATCGCTAACAGCCAGATTGATCGCTAATAGCCAGTGGCTACGATCGCTAGCAGTTAGTGGTCATGACCGCTATCGCGCTCATGACCCCACTAACTTATAGTGGCTATAGTCTCTTAAAATCAACAGTAAGAAGCTATGCTAAGTCCTTATTAATATACTATGTACTAGCTGCCTTATTTAAAGCTCTCTTCCCTTACTTAGATCTCCCCTGTAGCTATTAAGCGCTCGAGTGTTTTATTAGGTATTCTAAGTATGCTGTTCGGGGTATTCGTTGTGCCCTGTGGATAAAGATGTAAAGATTTGTAAAGTAGAATTTTTAAAGTAGTAGAATAGAAACCGAAGACTATTATTAATATGTTAGGTATGATTGGGAAAAGTATATTATTTTGAAAGCAGTGGACCTGTTTCATCTGGCCAAACCCTCTGTAGAAGACTATTATAGGCTCGTTAAAGATCGTATTGATGATATCCTTATTTTGCTCCTTGTTGTTAGCTTAGAATGTGTTAGGCAAAAGAACCTTCTTTACCTTATTATCGAGGATATATATCTTTGCTAGCTTCAGAGCCTTAATACTCTGAGTATTAATACGGGGTTTTAAAAACTGGTCAGTACGTGCCCCAATATCTGGGTCTTTGAGTAACTAATAACCCTTTTCTTTAATTAATGAGGTAATGTTGTTGCTTATGATGCTGAAGCTATGGACCTGAAGGTACTCGAAAGACTACTTAAAAATAATAGGTTAGGGAGCCTACGAAGGAGGACATATTTTACGCCCAAACTGAAACCCCCCAGAATTTTTTTTTTTTGGATACGTCATGTGATGCAATGGCAAAGAATTGTGGCGCCAGGTTGGGGCGCTGTGGCGCGTGGTCGGAAATTCTTCGAAGACATGTCCTTTATACATGCTTATCAACTAATAAAACCACTCCCTCGAGCTCCTTGGGTTTTGAACTATTATAGTAAGGGGGATGAGGGCGATAAGCTCTGAAATGTATATTAGATAGTGCTATATCTATTTAAAAAAAATCTAGCTGTTTGAGGATCCGGCCTATTTCTCTGCTATAGATCTTCCTCTCGCCAATAAGAAGGGAGATATATATAAGGAGATAGATGAAAGGAGAGTCTATTCTGCTACAGAGTATTCTATAAGTACTAACTGAGGGACGACCTATGCAAGAGGAAAATTTCATATACCTCCAATTATTTGTGGTAACTCAGCTTATCTCCAGGTGCTTCCAGAATCATAAGGGTATTGAAATACAGAGCACGGTGGGATTCGCCTGCATTTGCGAACTTCTAAGTTCGCATTTCCAGCGCAACCTCTATATGCAAATTTGAATGGTAGGTAATTTATCCTTAGCGTACATATGTACAATATGTAATAAATATACCTAAATACAATTATTGCTAGAGTTCTCAGATAGCCAGCTACTATATGTTACAGCCAGACATTAAAACAACCTAAAATAATAATAGCCAAACATTACAACAACCTAAAATAGTAACAATCTCGCAAGACAAGTATATTAATACTAAGTTTTAAGACTGTGGCGCTTTAAACTATAGTTTTACAAGTATTTCTTATTTTCTAGTATTTCATTACAAACCTGATAATAGATTATATAATAGTCCTCTAAAATAGAAAGGTACCTGCGATAAAAATACTTTACTGTATTGCCAGATATATAGAACTCTCGGGCTAGATCTTTTATTAAAGGATTATCTGGTTATAAAGTAAGAGCTTTACTAATATATAAAAAACAGTATCTGGGCCTCTCCTTCTCTGTTTTTACCCTGATAACCTTGAGCGTGGTTTTTAGTACTTCTTGTAGAGGGCCCTCCTCCTGTATATCCTTACTATATATATACTGAGGCTTAGCGGATAATATATTTTTATACTATATTATTAGTCCTTCTTTAACTATACAGTATAGAATAATAGTATTAATTATATTATTCTGCCTTTAATAATAGCCCTCGATTATATTATTATATTTAGCAGCTAGAGCTTATACTAGATATTTCTAAACTAATCCTTAAGGATAGTAGTCCTTCTTAATAATTTAGTTAGGGTTCTATTTATCTCTAAGTTAATACTTAATATTATTAATAGCCTGGTTATCTATCTATTTATATTATATAGTCTCCTGAAGTAATCTTTTGAGTTTTAGTTTCTCCTTTCTTAGTATATAAAGGGCTTTTATATATTTATTAGACCCTCGCTTTATTTATTAGAGTTATAGTTCGAGTTTCCTGATAAGAGGGTGTATATTTTATTGAGATTTACCCTATAGACTATAGGGTAGATCAGGTTACCCTATATTAGTTGATTAAATAATCTCAGATTAGTATAGGGTAAGGAGGAATAAAATAACTAACTTAGAGCTTTCTAAAGCTGGAAGCCTGCTGAAGCTACCGGCCTAATCCGCTGTAGCTGCTTGTTGGGGTAATTGCATTAGCAGTTATAACCGCTATAACAGCCGCTGTAGCAACCGTATTAGTGATCTCGTATTATACTATAGTAGCTATATTAGCGGTCCTTATATTCGCTGTAGCAGCTGTATTAGCAGTCCTTATATCCGCTATAGTACTTATATTAGCAGATCTTATATCTACTGTATAAGAACCTTAGTACTTAGTTAGTAAACTTTATAATTACTATAGTAGCTATATTAGCAGACTTTATATCTACTGTAGTACTTATATTAGCAGATCTTATATCTACTGTATAAGAACCTTATAGTAGTTATAAGTCTGTATTACAGAAGGTAATATATTATCTTCAGGGCTCTTAGAGCTCTGAAATAACTATAAGTACAGGGCTTCCTCCCTGCTAGATAGAGGTTCTTTAAGCTACTAATTTACTCTTTTATCTACCCTACAGTCTATCTTCTTAGCTACCCTGTAGCTAATAAAGCCTCTCTTTCTTACTAAGTAGACTGCTTTTTCTACTGTACCTTTTAAAATAATCCCTTCAGTATTCCTTAGTCTACCCTATAGGCTGTACCTACCCTAGACCCAGCTTACCCTACAGCTGGTCTACCCTATACTGGAGGCCTTGACCTTTCAAAATATTTATAGAGGCAGCTTGCTTAATAGTGAGGTCTATTAGTTAGTACTTGCTAATTAAGTAGCTAATACTGTAGGCCTGTCTTATTAGTACCTGCTGTAGCCTTTGATCTCGGAGAATAGCCTATATATCCGTATTGATTTCTCGGCTGAGGTAGTATCTCTAAAACGGGATAGAGTTGGTATAATCTAAAGCTAGGTTTTATAATACTTTGCTAATATTAACTATCTATTATGCTTATTAGTGATAAAAAGATTTTAGGGCTATCTGGGAGTTAGTAGGAAATAAACTGCTTTGGTTAAGCTTATTAGCTGCGGTATAGTACAGACTATATAGTATAGTAGTATACTTAAAGCTGAGTATCTTACTAATTTATCTGATCTATCTTACTATTATTCTATATATAATAGGTATATCTATAGAAATAGTATATTCTATAAGGATCTTTATAGTATAGCAGAATACTAAGTAGTTATTGAATTCTTTCTTTAAAGGTAGTAGTAGCTCCTTTTCTCCTGTATAGATATTAAGTATATCTAGCTTATCGGGAGAGGTAAGGCTTAGAGCCTTAAATACCTGATAGTAAAACAGGATACCTAAAAGGTAGATATAAGGGCTGAGGAATAGTAAAGGATTAAAGAAATTCTTAGGAACTATAAAGGTCTTACTGTGATATAGTTAGTCTTTTAATATAATAATAGGTCTATTATCTAACCCGAGTTATATATATATATCTTTAACTCTAAGATATATCTTTATAAAAGCTAGGGTAAATCAAGTAAGGATATTGTACGGACTATCTTTAGGATCTTGTACTAATACTGTATAAATATTACCGAATTAAAGGTATAAAATAGATACAGGGTAAGTACCAGCAGGAGTAAGTAAAAGGAGAAATAATACTATAAGAATTTAAATCTCTCCCAGCTGAAAATATTTTTTGGTTATATCTAGTATTATTTTAATCTGCTCTGATAGATCTTTAATTATTATATAGCGGTTTATATACTTCTTATTACTAAGTCTATACTTCTTAGCTAGGTCTCTAAGAGCCTAGAAGCTTATATTAGAAAGTATTCTATAGGGGAAGGGGAGGGGAGGGGGTAGTAAAGATTCCTACTCTATATATCTTCTGGTTTAATTTTAGGTTAATCTTATCTCCGGTAGCCCTTTTAATATATAGCTGGAATACTTTCTAGTATATACTTAAGGAACTTTTCTTCTTTATTCTATAGAGCTTTCTACTATCTTTATTAACTTATTAATTTAAGCGCTAGTTAAAGAAATTATATAAAATCCCTATAGATAAGGATATATAACTTTCTATAGGGTTATAGTTAATAACTTTACAGAATCTGTAAATAAAAATATTAGTATTAACTATTAAGGGTAGAACTAGTTACTAACTCTTTCTATATATCTTCTATTATATCTAAGAGAATACTACTGCCCGGGCTATAATCTTAACTGTTATAATAGCTCTTCTTAAAGTCTTTTACTGCTTTTTAATAGTATTCTGATAGGTATATATTTCTACTAAATAGGTTAATAGTATCTTTAAAGTCTACTTTATCTTTATCAGAAAACTCTTTAAAGATAGTTATATTACTCCTATATTCAGAGTACTTATAATTATTATTATTAAAAATACTATTAATATTAGACTTATCTGAGTATTCTGGGCCTAGATCGGAGTATTCTAAGTCTGAATCAGGAGGTAATAGTACGATAGGAGCTATACTACAGTCTAGCTGTAGTCTGTATAGGTGAAAATATAGATATAAGAAACAGGAATAATTTATAAAATAAGGGAAAGTAAAGGGTTATAGGGGAGATAAGGGGTTAGTTAGAAATAGAGAAGTAAGAATAGGAAGGAAAAAAGAATAGGGGAAAATAAATATAGCGGTAAGCAGGTATAGTATTTATAGACTTATAAGATAGGCTGCTAAGTACTAATTATAATATAAAATAGTCTATTTTAGTATCTTGATTAAAAGCTCAGGAACTAACTTCTTAGTAACTAAGTAAATAGCTTACTTAACTGCTATAGTGGAACTAGGGAGCAGTACTATAGTAGTACTTATTAAGGTTCTGGTAGGGGTCTGTTAATAGTATATAGCTTAAAGCAGTAAGAGATTTTAGGTAAATTTACTATAAAGAATAATAGCTAAATCCGGTAAAAATATAGGTAATTTTACTATAATAACTTTATATTTAGTTAAAAATAATTATTTATTTATCTTTAGAATTATTTTTTTATATTTAGATTTTTAATTAAAAATATTAATTTTTCTATTTTTTAATTCTTTTTAATATATAATTTTATATTTAAATTAAAATAAATACTTAGTATAATATATTTATTTTTTATTTAGTTATTAAATTATAATAAAATACTAAATATTTTTATAATCTATATATATTTTAATTTTATATATTATTTCTAAGTAGTAATATTTAAATTCTTTAAATATATATATAGTAATTATAAATTCTTTATTATAAATAGAATAATTAAGTTCTATACTATATAGTTTCTTTAAGAAGAATATTATAAAATATAATACTCTATTATTATCTTTTTAACTAATTTATATATTAATTATAAAATCTAATATATTAGTTTTAAATTCTACTTTTTTTATAGAATTAAATATCTATAGTATAGATTCTAAAAGTATTTAGTTCTTAATTTTATTAAATACTTATTATTATTAGTTATTTTATTAGAATTCTATTCTTTTTTTAATAATATTATATAAGAATATAATAATTTTTCTATAGTTTTTAATAAATTATTAATAATAATTAGTAAATCTAAAGAAAGTTTATATTTTTTTAATAATTTTTAATACTTTCTATTTCTTAATTATAATAATTTTATTTTATTCTATTTATATTTTATTTAGTTAAATAGTATATTCTAAGAAATTAATTTCTTATATATAAAAATAGCTTTTTTTAGATTTTATAAGAAAATTAATTTTTTATAATTTTTCTAAGATCTAGTATATATATTCTTTATATATTTTTAAATTATTAAAATAAATTAAAATATTATTAAGATAAATAATTATAAAGATATTAAAATACTTCTAAAGTATTTAATTAATTATTTATTAAAATATTATAAATATATTTATTAGTTTAAAAAATATAATAAAATACTTATAGAAACTAAACTTTATTCTAAATACTATTTTCTATTTATTTATTTTTTTAATTTATATTAAATTATAAGTTTTTTTTAAATCTAATATTATAAATTACTATTTATTTTATAATTAATTTCTAAGTTTAGTAATTAATAGTAAAAGTATTCTATCTTTTTATATAATCTTATTTAATTATTAATAATTAATAACTAAATAGAATTTACTATTTTTTTTTAGTATAAATATTATAGAATAATCTATAGATAAAATTAATAAATATATATAGTTTTTTATTAATATATTATTAATATATTTATAACTAAAGTTCTATAAAGTTATATAGTTTATAAAAATTAGATTTTTTTTCTTTAATAATAAAGATTTTATAATTCTATTAGCTATATTAGAATAATTCTATTTTAAATTCTTTTTTTAGAATAATTTATTTTTAAAGTATTTATATTTATATAGAATACTCTTTATTATATAATATAACTAAATATATATAAATAGATATTAAATTAATATTAAATCTATATTATTTAATAAAAATTTTCTATAGTAGTAAATATATATTATACTTATAAATATAAACTTAACTAATAATCTTAAATAATTAACTTTTCTCTTATTTCTAAATAAATATAATTTAGATTAAATTAAAATAAACTCTAATATACTAATATTAAGCTTAATTTAATCTAACTAATATCCTAATCTAAATTATTCTAAAATATAAAAAGCTTAATTAATAAACTAATTCTTAAGAACTATTTTTACTCTTATTAATTTAATATAATATATAATATATTAAAACTATAAGTTATATATTAAGCTATAGTAGATCTATATAAGAGAGTAGCTATTCTTAAGATATAGTATTTACTTAAGCTAATTTTAATTCTCTATAAGTACTTATAGTAGCTATAATAGCTATAGGTAGTAGACTATATAATAAAATAATAAACTAAGTAGATATAGTTACTAGATTTATATAGTTAATAGTAGTTTTATTATTATAAATAGGCCCTTAACTAATTATAAAGATATATTATAAATATAGTTAGTAAATAGCTATATTAGATTATCTTAGATAATAGTTATTATTACTTTAAGAACCTTATTAGAAGTATTAACTAAGCTCTAAAAGATTAGAATATTTATATTAGATATTATAGCTATTTAAGTTATCTAGTAATTAATTAATTAAGTAATTAATTAATAATATAATTAATTAATTTAGATTAAGATAAGCTTTAAGTTAGAAAGAAAAAATAGTTATTATTATTAGATAATAAGCTTTCCCTCTTAGAGGCTATAGCTATAGCTAGGCTATTTATATATCTAGCTATATAAATAGCTTCTATTATTAGAGTTTTTAAGATATTAATATCTATATCTAGATTAAAAGTATTTAATTTTAATTTTATCTTATAGTATTAAAGATTTAGATATAGATTACTAATTATATTCTTAAAAAAATTATATAATCTAGTTATATATTACCTAATCTTAGAATATATCTTTATTTATAGTAAAACTAATAAAAAAAATAGAATATTCTTAAGTTATTTTTTATTTTTTAAATATTTAGCTTATTTATACTTATACTAAATATTTTTTTTCTTATTCTATTATATTTTCTATTAATTATCTATTTAGTTTTATTTCTAAATTCCTATATTAAATAGTTTTAAAAATAGTTTTTCTATTTCTTTTTATTATTAATTATATTTAATCTTATATTTTTATTATTATTCCTTAATTAGTTATTTCTAATTAATAAATACTAAATTTATATTTAAAAATAGTTCTTATTTCTATATTTAATCTAAGATCTATATTATTTATTTTAATTCTTATTATAATAAATTTCTTATATTATTAGATTATAATACTATTAAGATTATAATACTATTAAGATTAATACTACTATATCTACTTATTATTATAAATTATTATAGTTTTTTATAATAATACTTTTAAATATTAAAAAATATATATATTTTTCTAATATTTAATAAAATTTTAATTTTTATTAATTCTAATATTAATATATAAAAATATTCTTTTATTCTATTTAGCTAGTATATTAATTAATTAGTAAGTTTATATTTTAAAATTATAATAATTCTAATATAATTTTATAGATTTCTAATAATATTAAATAATAAGTAATATTAAATTTTCTTTTTTTAAATTTTAATTATAAAATAATTAATTTTAAAATTAATAATTCTATTATTATATTTAAACTTTAAATCTTTAATATTTATAATTATATAGATTTTTTCTTTTTTTTTCTATAATAAATAAAGTTAATTAATTATTATTAATAAAATATAATTTTTCTATATTCTATAGTTAATAAATATTATAAACTAGTTTTTTTTAATTTTTACTTTTATAAAAATATATATAGAGCTTTTTATTTCTATAATTTTTAAAATTTTCTAATTTATTATTAATATTATACTATACTATAGCTCTATTATAAATAATTTAAATTATTTTTTATTTAATTAATTTATTTTTAAAATTTATTTATTAATAATAATATATTTTATTTATTATATATTTTATTTTATTTTTATTTATTAATAAAAATAATTTCTAATTTTTTTTTATTATTACTTTTCTTATTATTTATAAAGGAAAATTATCTATATAAATATTAGTTTTATATTTCTTTCTTCTATAGTTATTATTATTTAAAATATAACTTAATAGTATTTATATTATTATTATTATTCTATATTAATATTAATATTTCTTATTTAACTTTTTAATAATTTTTATAATTCTAATTATAATATAATTTAATATAATTACTATAATTATATATAGTTTAGTTTTCTATCTACTAGTAGTTATATTATAATCTAATTTTATTATTTTTATAAATCTTATATTTCTATTCTTAGTATATTTCTATTAAAAGTTTTTCTTTTATATAATCTTTAGAGTATTTCTTTAGATCTTCTTTAAAGATAGTATAGAATTCTATTCTATAGTATTAATATATAAATTATTATATTTAGATTATATTATACTTTCTAAATATTTTTCTATTAGAAAATAAAAAAAAGTTATTTAATATTTTCTTTTATTAATATATAATATACTAGATATTATAATATATTATTTAGAATTCTAATTTATAATTATATTTCTAATTAGTATTTATATATATTAGATTCTTATACTTATTATTAGAATATTAAATAGTATTTATAGTATTTTTTCTATATAATACTATTCTATATATTTTCTTAAGATTTTATATCTATATTTTTTACTAGTAGTAGATATAGAGTTTATTATATTTAGCTTTAATCTTATCTTTAATAAATATATATTAGTTTTATTCTTTAGAAATATATTTAATAAGTTTATTAATATAATAGAATATATATTTATATTTAGTAAGAGATCTATAGTTTATAATATTTCTTTTATTTTTATATTTTTATTTAAATTCTTAGAGAATATATATAATATATTATTAGTTTTCTTCTAATATTATTTATTTTACTTTTTTATTATTAGTTTTTAATATTTTATAGAAGTTTAATATAGATTTTCTAGAGAATATAGAAATT